ACCAAAAAAAAAAAAAAAAAAAAAAAGAAGCATTAAGATGATAAACTTAGTTTCATATTGTCATAAAATTTCTGTGGGGAAAATAAATACATTTCTAAAGAAAGCTTCTGAATTTATAAAATTAGAGAAAAATCAACTCTTCTCATTTAATATGATGTAATTCTTGTGTTAAAGCCTTCATCACACATTATAGATGAATTACTCTATGAGAAGAATCACATTACATGTCTTACAAAAATGATTGTGTGTTTTAATAGTAGTATACATAAGTATATATGAGAGCATTTCCAGTAAAGAGTAGAATAATGAAACGAACAAATAAACAAACAAAAATGTGAAACATGAACTCAAAAAAACTGACTTCTAACATCAAGTCAGTGTGCTCCCTACATGGGTATCAATGGACAAGTTACTTCCTCTTCCTGAGCCTCAGATTTTCTCATCTGTTAAAGCCTATCTCATAGGACATAGGGGAGAATTAAATGAAATAAAATGTATAAAGTGGGTAACATATTTGATGGATATATATTATATATATATGTGTATATATATATATATATATATATATATATATATATATATATATATACACACACACACACATATATATACTTCTTTTTGGCCCTTCCCTAGTGCTAACAGAGATACACATCCTATAAAGGGGCAGCCTTATTACAGGAGTATTAGTAGTCTTATCTGTGGAACTATTTAGTATGTTATTATATGTGATTTTTTTGTCATAAATAATATGAGAAGAAAACCTTTACAAAGTTATTTTGTAAAAAATATTCATGCTTAGATTAAAGGAATAACATGTAGGTGTCATTTCTCTTGGAATCTTCCTCAGTGTGGTATACTACAGATAAATTAGTAAAATTCCTACCTGCTAAACCAGGAATAGGTCATCTTACTGAAGAATGAAGCACTTTTCTCTGGATTGCATTTCTAAAAACCAAAACAAAACAAACAAGCAAACAAAAAATATATATATATAAAACAACTATATATGAAGAAAATGTCTCTATTTTACATTTGAAATATCTTTGTCAGCAAGCGGAAGTGTAGACATGAAATCATTTATGTTTCAGCTATGTTGATATCATAATCTTTAAGGAATACAATTAAGATATTCTTGGACAGTGGTTGCACTAGAAGAACTTTAAGATTTCTCCCAACATTACAACTGCTTACATAGCAAGAAACCATGTAGAAAAGGAAAATTATTTCTAAAATTCCCATTACTTCCTCTCTCTCTCTCTCTCTATATATATATACACACACATACATATATATATATATATATATATACACATAGCTCCTTAAATTTATATGACTGTGTATATATGTATGCATATGCTTATGTATATGAATACATATATACACACATAATTTAGCTTACATATATGTATAAGCTAAATTTAAAACATTTTAATTGCTAAATTAAAAACAGTTTTGGCTTTCTTCTGAAAAATAGAAAAATAATAGACTATAACAGGCATTTGGTTTACTAACTTCTGTATAAGTGTTTAATAACATAATTTGTATAAATGTATAAATATACATACAATTATATATTTATCACTATTGCATATTATTTGGGGAGGTTATAATATTTCCATAAAATTCTTCCCATTGACCTGGTAAGTTCCACCAAAAGAGGAGGGGTTTAAAAGGGAAGTTCTCAAAAGTCATAATTTTACATTTTTAAGGTCAGCATGAATCTGTGTCTTTTAAAAAGTTAAACTAACCACAATATTACATTTAATTCTTAGAAATTGTCCCACATTTAACAATTTTTGCATTGATCCTCTCTAATCCAGTTCTGATTTCTTATTCAAAAAGTGTTTACCACATTTTTAAAAATTCTGATTCTAGAAGTAATAAGTGAAACAGTGTTTCATCCTATACAGTAAAATGTCCTGACTGTAGAGGAGAAAACATAATACGCACTCCAAATCTGTTCTCTTAGTTATAGCAAACGGTATACTCTAAATCTTTGAAGAAATATATGTGTGTGTGTATACACACACCCACACCCACACCCACACACACGCCCACAGAGTTGACCCTTGAACAACACGAGTTTGAAATGCATGGATTTGAACATTTGGATTGCTTTCAACAGTAAGTACTACACAATCAGGGGTTGTTTGAATCTGTGGATGAGGAACTTTGGATGTGGAGGAACAGCATACATGGAAAGCCGACTATAAGTTACACGTGAATTTTCAACTTTGATGAGCCTTGGCACCCTTAACCTCTGTGTTGTTCAAGGGTAAACTCTAATTTAGCAAATTGGTATCTATCCTTATATGATTGTTTCAAGAAGTAAATGCTGTGATAAACGTGAAACATTTATCACGTGGTGGCCCCAATTAACCACTCAAACATGTGAACTATAAAATTGTCATAACTCTTGTTACCAAACATATTATCTGGAAAATAAGTATCGATGCATATAGCAGTGGGGAAAATGTTCTGAAAACTCTCTGATTAACCTAGAAGTCACATTTCATTTTACAGGGAGTTGTCAATTTGATAACTGGCCACCAATGTGAAGATTTTATTCTCATCCAAAATATATATATTTCTGTGGCTGACTACAAACGGCTACAAATTCTTTGCAGCTTTTCCCGTCAAGAGACAGACTCTATTTCCCACTCCTTGAATCTGGGCTGGCATTGCTTCTTGTTTTGACTATGAGAATGCAATAGGAGTGACATTAAGAGAACTCCAACTCTAAGCTTCAAGAGGCTTGCTATGCTTGGAGCCCTGAGTGAACCACATGGCTGAGACCCAGCTAACCTCCTGGAGGATGAGAGACCACGTGGAGGAGAGCCAAGGTTCTCACCTGGTCATCCTGGCCAACAGCCTGAAAACTGCCAGACATATGAGGAAATAGGTCCTACATTATCCAGCCACCAGCCAACTCTCCAGATGATAGCACATGCCTGAGAGAGCTCAGCAGAGATCAGTCAAGCTAACCCAAACCAGGACATGATCTAGCTGGTCCAGAGAATCATTGGCTAAATAAAAAAGGTTGTTGTTTTCGGGGCCAAAGTCTTGCAAAGCTACTAGATAAGGTTACTTTAGCAGGTCAAGAAATGGGTATTTGATTTAATATTTGCTCTAGGTCCATTTTCCATGTGAAAGCATCTTATACGAGGCTCTTTGAGTCCTCTGGTAAATAGCCTCCTTAAATGTGGGCCAGGCATCTTATACTGAATTTATTACAGTGAATTCCAAGCATATTTACGTCCCAGAAGAAATGGCAGGCAGGTAAAATATCTGGTAAATGTAATTAAGCCTTACCAAGCACCAAGAATGTATAAATGACTTCTCAATAAATAATTACTGAATTCATAACATGGGTCTCACTGAGTTTCTTATTGATATATTGCTGCAAAGCAACATCTATGTTAAAAACCAGGATATGACAATTCTGACAGTATCTTCGAATGTTCTAATTTACTCCCATCTTCTCCATTGGCCATTTTGCAATCCTTCTAACTCACCTATTCTCACTCTGACAGCACTTCCTCTGCAGATGTAACTGACACCAAATGATTTCTCATTTTTTTCGTCTCCCCAGGCCCACTACAGGCCTTTGCTTTCTAAGCTATTTTATTATCTTTGTACTTATCTACCACTGGGCGTATAGTAGGCAGCCCATAAACACACCTTAATATTAATGACTCATGGGCAATTTTCATTTGAATGGTGGTCCTGTTATTTCTGAATTATGATGGCGGAGCAGAAAGTTTAGCCCACAGCATAGCTTGGGTCCAGGATTTAGTGAAATGTGCTGCTCTCAATCTTCTTTGGGTTCAACCTTGAGATGCGGCCTCCTGAGGATGTGGTGTGATTGCTACAGTTAACAATACCTCATAATCCCTAACTTCAGGTGCTTTCCTTGTTGGTATTAAAGGAGGGTCCTGGGAATCGTGAACGAAGTTATGGGAAAGTGTCTGTACAGGCTCACGGAGAAGGGAAAACATCCAGAAAGCAAAAAGAACTTATGTTTCTTAATCACTTATTCTGCGCCAGATTCTGTACTAAGTATATTATTAAATATAACATGTCTTTGTGGTGGGACTATTTTTGTCATCCCCATTTTATAGAAGAGGAAACTAAGGCCTAGAGTTTAAAAAACCTTGCCCAAAGTCCTCCAACTGAGAAATTCATTCTATTTTCCAGTCATAATTCTACACCCTCAGCTCTACCTGTTACACACTGTTGGTGTTTGCTGCTGCTTAGAAACACCTTTCTTCTTGTCCACTTCCTTGTACTTCACGTCTCCTGGCTACATCTTACTTGTGGTCCAATCCTCTGTAGGATTTATTGCCTTTGGTGATTCCTCTCCTCCATCCCAACCTCCAAAGCTCAGATTTTTGTTCTGTGTTACCAAAGTTTAAAGGCTCTTCAGATCTGCCTTCTCTGAATTTACCCTCACTCTTACCTGACTATCCAATCATTTGCCTACGGATATTTCTCTCCTGCTAGACTTAGTTTCTCCGGAGGACAGAAACTATGTTTGATCTACCTTTATATTTCCAGGGCCCAGCTCATAACATGTTTTAGATGAATGAATATATGAATGAATGAATGTTAATCACTGCCAATAAAAATTTTTAGAGGTTTTCTATTCATGGGTCACTATGCCAGCCCTAGATATTCAATCAGAAGGTCAAGTTCTTGGCTTACAGGTCAGCTTGGGATTTTTATCTGAGATCTATTATGCCAAAAATATAAAGTCTCAGCAATGAAATGTAATCATACAAGGTTTTCAACATGCTTTGAAGCCATCAATTTTGTTTTTTTTAACTTGGCATCATAGAAGTAACAAATAGAAAATGAGTATTTTCAATCTTGCCTAAATGGATTCTGGGTCCGTAAAGCTATTAAGGTTGAGTAATAGTCAAGGAAATAAACATTGTTGGAATCTTAGAAGAAGAATCCACTAGAATTTGGGGTGAGGGAACTGTTGGAGTTTTATAATTTCCCACCCCACCTATTTGTAATTCACTGCCTTTGGCCACCTCTGTGGTTAGACTAACGATGTTAAACCAGTTTGCCTGATTAAGCCTGCCACGTCTAAAATAAAAAAAGGTATATTGCCCTGGTGGAGCGCTTGCACATTTTTAAGGGACTTATTCAATGCCTATATTTTATAGATTTAAATATAATTTGCTTTACTTTTAAAGAAATTTATAGTTTCATTTGTAATCAGAAGAATAGCTGTCATATTCATCTGACACTTGGGGTTACTAACAAAAGCCAGGATTAGAACAAGGTCCTCTGAAATCTGAATCTGAAATGTTTTTTTTTTTTCTTTCCTTTTTAGTACTACAGAACTACATGTGTTAAGGGCTAGTTCTAAGACCCGGTCTTGTGAGGTGATGAGAAGTAAAACAAAGAGAATTTTTATTAGGGAAATTGCTCCTGATACACAACTGCAGGGTTCATTTCCCTGTACTACTACTGCCTTAGCACATGACTTCTATTGTGAAAGGAGCACGTGTTATGGGGGCCAGGGGGGAGGGTAGCAAGGCACAGTCAAATGTCTGCAGTTTTTGGATTTGCCCCAGGCCTCAGTGTCCCAATACCATGTCAGTTGACACACAGAGTTTATTTATCCCAGATCTCTCCTGTGGTTTTAACGGGCTCTATCACTGGTTTTAGAGTCCCATCCCAACCTCTACTCCTTCAGCCGAAGTCAGGTCCATTCATTCCTTTCTCAAATGTTTGCTTCTGTTTGCAAACAGGGGAGTCACTTAGACCTTCAAAGATGCTGCTTTCTCTCCTCCAGCAGCCACCTTGACTGAGATCGCGCTGGCTAAAGTTTCACACCATCCTGGGGTCTGATCTCAGCTCTCCCGACTGTGCGTGTGTCTGTGTGTGTGCGAGCGCGTCTGTCTGAGTCTGTGCTGTCCCTGCGTGATTACGACAAAAACAGGGATCTAAGACACCAGTTCGCGTTTCAGGGTCTGGACAATCAGCTCTCCCCGCTTCCCCTCGCCGCCAGATTGGCCAGAAAACCGTCCCGCCTCCCGCACCTCCACCGGGAATCTTTACCTGCGCCTCGGGGCCTCGGGGGAGCCGCTGGTAGAAGCCGCTGGCGCTCCACCTCCCCAAGCTGGAAAACATGGTCCGCGCGGGCTCCCGGCGACGGGAAGCGGATAGAGGTCCGCGGCTGTCACTTCTCTTGGCTGGGGATGGTCAATTCGGCGCCTGGAAGGTGGGAGGACGCGACCACTCGGGCCGGGAGTCAGCTGTCGCCCTACCCTCCGCCAGCCCTTCCAGCGAGCGCCCTGGGCGGCGGCGGGGAACGGAGGGAGGAAAGGGCGGGGCGGAGTGGGAAGAAGTGGGACCTTCAGCAGAGGCCAAAGATCTCTGCCTTTGGGGGAATTTGCCCTTGACTCGGTAATTCTCACTCCTCAATTTCCAGGGTTGCTCTGTTAGAAAATGTGCCCCTTTATAATAGAAGCAGAAAGCTCTTTCTTCCTTAGGATGACATTTAGGTGTTTGCAAACAGTGTTAACAGCTGTCCCCTACAGAAAATTGTTAAGGACAACAGGTGTCAGTAGAATTTTACAGAGTGAACTAAACTGCAAGGGCTTTAAAATTAGAAACTAATGAAATGCTTCCCTTAGTATTACAAAATAATAACAGTATAGGGAATCTAAATTTTACTTTTCAAATTAATCATAAAGCTATGTAATAAATGGGAAAACTTCGTGGTATAGGATTAGCAAAGAACTAAATGAAATACATGACTTATAAAGGGGGATATGAAAATTAAGAATAGCATTTTGACTTAATAAGTATTGATGGGTCATGAACCTTGTATAAATAAGTATTGGTGTATGCAACAAATCACTTTCCATGAGACGTGTCTAATGGTCTAATGAAATACTTTGTTTCAGTTCAGTAAGAAGGTGAAATAACAGAAGAGGGAGCAACTTTAAGAATTCTGTATAATGAGGATAAGGCCATGTGATAATTTTACAAGGATGGGTATTGTGTTTGTATTATGTTTCAGGACCAAGGAACATTCTGTCTGCTTCTTGAAATTAATGTTAGAGGTAAATGGAAAGAATATAGTATATAGGAAAAGAAAAGGCCAGCATCCTTGAGAAAGGCGTTCAACAGATGTTACTTACGGGGAGTTTTAGCCTGCCCACAGAATGGGTCAAACTGAGGTACCAAAAATGTCTACATGAGGATTAGACCAAAGGATACCTCATGGAATTAAAGTCCTGGGGAATATTTAGAACATTTATTTGGCTTTCTTCTTCCCTTCAGAGGGTATTTGGCCCCATGCAAAGAGGAAGTTGTAGATTTCACTTTAAAATAAATGTTTCTGTGAAGAATTGAGGTCGAAGTTCAGGACTTAGAAATTTTGTTTCGTGTCTTCCAGAACTTTTTCACAAATTCACATAGCAATTTGGGGACATCTTTTACTCAGCAGCCTCAGCCTGAGGGGCCCTTTCCTCCATCTGCACTTTTAAACTATTCACTCTGTGGATTCTCTGTGGAAAAGGCAAGGTGTTATAGAGATAGTTCCTGCTTTTTTCAGCTATAAGGAAAGAAGGAGCTTGAACCTGAACCAGAGGGGGAAGCCAGGAAGAAGAGGCCGAGAAATAGCTCAGGCTCCAAACTCAACATATGTCTACCTTCCTCCTGCTGGAATTAATCCCCTCAGGAAAGGACGGTTCTAGCAACTGGAAACAGACAAATTTTCATGAATACTCAGCTCTTTAAAGAGACCCCAGCTGCTTGATTGGTGGGGAAAGAGGAATCCCTAAGGTAATGGAATAGATGAAGTTAGAAAGGCCTATAGGTATGTTGGAGCTAGAGTGCTGGAGTCCCTACCCAAAGGGATCGAGGGAAACATCTCTGGGAGCCCCACAAAATTACATTTTAATCTCAAGCTTCCGCAAAAGGAGATACAAGATAAGACTATGCTAATAAAAAGGAAGGCATGAGTTTTGGGGTGTTTGTTTTTAAGAAAGAAATTACAGTTTTTATTGCTTCAATGCTTAGTTAAGGAAAACTCAGTGAAGTATTCAGATTTGTCTAAGGAACAGAAAATATTAAATAAAATGACCCTGGCATAAACAAATCTTACCACAAAATTAGCATTCTGATTCACTGAATTCTCATGCTAGCTGAATTGTGAAATAAATATTTCCTTTTGCAGCAAAAAAACCCCCAAAATCATAGACAGGTAAGGAGTGGAACGTATTTTATGTCACAATATTCAATTTTTTAGGTCGCTGGAAAGATTCCTTAGTAGGGTTCTTACCTTTCCAGGGATTCTGCTCTACTTTACACGTTCTGCAGGCACTGTACCTCACCCTTTCTTGTTGAGGAGAGCCTCATAGATCAGGGTCAGAATCCCTGAGACTGATTAAAAGTAAAGCTGAAAGAAAGAGCTGGCTGTTTCCTATTGTTACCTTGGCATATGGTTGTCACCGTGGCAGAAAGGGGACAATTTTTTCTTCAAGGTGATTGCAGGTTATGTCTTCATGGGAGGTGAGGGATGGAATAGATGTTATTTTCTTTGTTCTTGTTAACCTTGGTATTAAAATTGAATTCACAGGGCTTCCCTAGTGGCGCAGTGGTTGAGAGTCCGCCTGCCGATTCAGGGGACACGGGTTCGTGCCCCGGTCCGGGAAGATCCCATGTGCAGTGGAGCGGCTGGGCCTGTGAGCCATGGCTGCTGAGCCTGCGCGTCCAGAGCCTGTGCTCCGCAACAGGAGAGGCCACAGCAGTGAGAGGCCCGTGTACCACAAAAGAAAAAATTGAATTCACAACTCTTCGGTTCTTGGCATACTATCATCATTTTGTTAAGGACCATTTTTATTTTATTTTGTTTTATTTATATTTCCCCACCTTCCTATCCATTTTCCCCACCATAAGTCAACTTATCTGGAGTAACACATAAGTATCTTTTCAATTCAACTTCTACACATTTATTGAGACACTTCTTTGTATTTAAAAACTCTATGGTGCTGTTTCACCTGTTTCAAATATATATACAAATGGTATTTTCCTATAAAGTTATTGCAATACACCTCCCTCCCTCCCCGCATATTTTTTCACTTAACATTATTTGTAGAGCATCTACCCATGTGAGGCTACTCACACATTGTTCCTGACTGCTGTGTGATGTTTTGTTCTATGCAAATACTGCAATTTCCAGGAACTCAGAATGTGATTGAGCACACAGGCTCCAAGGTAAGACTACAGATGCAAGTCTGGCACCACCATTTACCAGCAAATCATTAACACCTCAGGGCTCACTTTCCCGTTTATAAAATGGAATAGTACTGCCTTCCTCATAGGTTTGTTGTAAGCACTTTGTGATTTATTCATGTAATAAGTAAAGCATTTAGAACAGCGTGGGCACATGGTAAATACTGCATAAATTATTATGATGATTGTTACTCAGCTAGTCACTTAGTGAACAATATGTAGGCTAACTCCAACTGTTTGCCCTCATGGTTAGTGCTGTAAGGACTCTCTTCAGGACTGATATTACATTTTTCTTAGATCAAGGGTTCTCAATTTTTGGACTCAGGACTTCTTTACATTCCTGAAAATTATTGACTACCCAAGTAACTTTTGTGTGTGTGGAGCAGCTCTACTGATATCTGCTATGTTAGAAATTAAAATTTTAAGTGTAAAAATATTTATTAATTATTTAAAGATAACAATAATAAACCCATTACATGTTTTCGTAAGTGCTAAAAATTAAAAACAAAGATTACAGGGTTCTCAGGATATATTCCAAATCCACCACATCACAGAGGAGGTGACCAAGTCAGGAGGAAGTTTGATGACTTTCCCAACATTACAGTCATAAGGAAAACTGAGGAAAAACATCCGATTTCCTTGAATCCAGGATTCTTTTTGTTTCTTTTTTCCACTTTACCCATCTGATACCATTTCATTTTGCCCCAAGTAGCTACTGATTTGCAAACATAAGAGAGAAGATGCAAAGTCTGCTCATTTTTACACTAACAAAGAGTAACACAGTTTATTTGTGATTATTTTTGTTACGATCCTAAAGTTGTATCCACATGACTTGGCAAAAAAAGGAATTTCCAAATATTTTCCAAAAACTTTCTTCGGATCTCCAACTGCATTTTGCTGAATGCTGTTCTTTACTTAATTAATATATTTCACAAGCATTAATTTAGTACCTCTGTGTGCTAGGCGTTCTGGAAGGTGCTAGGAATGTAATGAATCATTCCTGTCCTCATCAAATTATGCACTAGTGGGAGAGACCAAGAAGAAACAAGTACGCCAAAAATAAATAAATAAATAACTACAAAATGTACAGTGCAATGAAGAAAATGAACAGGATGCAATATCAGAGAATAATCAACCAAGACAGGCACCTCCTTCCAGACTAGTTTGGTGAAGGCTCACAGGTTATGACATGATAAATACACTGTAGGGAGCCATAAAAATAGCTGGAGGCAAACTATTTCAGGTAAAGGAATACTGTGGACGGAAGCCGGAATTCTTCTTTGTGTTTGTTTTTTCATACATTTTATGATATAAATTACTTGAAAAATATAATCTTCCCATGACCAGGTGTTGCTGTACCTGCAGCAGGACTGTATTCTTTATTTCTCCACCTTCCTTCCCCACCATCATCCGAAGCATTATTTGATTTGTAAGGAGGTAAATATGGGATAAAGTCCACATTTACTGTATTTAAATGAACATTTATTGAGCCTTATCCCACATATCTGTATGGGATTCTTTCCGGACATTCTGTACATAACGCATTTCAAATAGATTTGAATATTTTTGCTCAAACTCATGTAGGATGCTAGAACAGAGCCCGGGAGGACTTTAAAAACTTAATAATAGCTAATATGTATAGTGCATTTATTACATGTCAAATATATACTAAGATATTTACATTCAATATCTAATGAAGTCTATAAAACCAAACCCATGCATTTTTGAGAAAACAAATAACTTGTAAAGAGTCATATGGCTGATAAGCCAAGAGTTGACCAGAAGCAGTTTTACCATCAAGGTAGTCAGAAGAAAGGGAGACAGTGCACTCAAAACTCAAGAGCTGTGGTGGTTTATATGTACATTCATATTAACACAGCTAGGGA